AATGACTCATGTCTAACATGATTTGCCTGGTTTACATGACTTGAAATGCCTGCTTAAACATGTCAAATGCTTGAATACATGAAATGGTATGCTATGATTGCATACGTCGATGGAGCGAATCTCCTCGACATTTACATGATACATGGGCGACGCCCAAACTCATAGGCCGACCTTGGAACTCGAGCCGGCATGGGCTTGGTCGGGAACCTCGGTGAACCATGAGATTCACATGATAAGCTTGATCTATTGAGAGATCTCGCTTGGCATACTCGTAAAGTATCGTCTTATAAATGTCGTGCGGGCCCGAAGTGGTGTATGGTGGACGGATGAGAAGTAAGTGGTGAACTACGGATATGAAAATATCAACCCGGTTGACGGAAAGTCATCACGGGGAGATATACAAATGACATCGGCAAATGTGGAATTTAGCTCCTGAGAGCTTCTATATCCTTGAATTGTTTCTGGTTACGCTTTGTTGGCGTTATTAATTACTTGCAAGCTATTACCTGAATTGTATTTGGGCTTGTTATCTGAACTATGTGTCTGCATGTGTGTTCTTGGCCTCACGAGCGTTTTGCTCACCCTGTAGATTTGTTTTCCTTAACAGGTTTGAACTCGGAGGTAAAATGGAGAAGCCCTCTTGATGTACTTTTGTTTAGGGCTTGTTATTACTTTTGGTTATGCCTTTGGTTTTAGAATTGTACTTTTGGTATGAAAATGTGACCCTGAGAACTGTTACAGTTGGTATCAGAGCCATATGCCGACAGTTGGGACCTTAAGTCCTTCGTCTGGAAAAGCCCCGAGCCTCTCGTTCGTGAAGAGTCACGAAGCGAAACTCTTCGTAGGGGATGCCCGCGTGCGGGTGGCAAGCTGATAGGTACCCCGTGATGTGACCCTTTGGACAAAATGTAATCTGTATTCTGACGTGTGGTTTGGAGAATGGATGACTATTATTAAGTTTGAATACTTCCGCATTTATTGTATCTAAATTATTGGCTTGTATTGTGTGGTCCGGCTATAAGTTGAATGGAATTGCTTGAGTCCTGGCGAGAGCTAGGCAGGCGTTACGCGGATACCCTTTGGTTCGCCTTAGGGAGAAGTGGGGGCGTCACATTTGTGCTTAGTGGCTGCTTAGTACTAGGCACTTGTACTTTGTGAGCATTCAAAAAGTAGCCATAATAAATTGAAATAAATTTGTTAGAAAGAAATTTACCTCAATAGTTCGTCAAGAGTTCCCCGGGGAAATTCCTAACAGTTGATTTGACACTAATAGAATCTAGATAAAGTATTGTGCTAATAACATGCTACGAAACTTATGCTAATGTGATATAAGATTTGAGTTGTTTATGTGGTAGGTATTATATTAAGAAAAACAGGAAAACTAAAGAGCTCAGGAGAAGAGAAAAGTAAGAAAAGAACTATTTTTTCACTCACTTAAATGAAACCTCAATTTTCTATTACTTTTCTATCATAGATACAAGAGGGGGTTAACTCCTATTTATAGGGAAGAAGTACAGCGGCTAGTTTTTTCAAAATGGTGAAACTATCTTTTTGAAAGACATGGTAGCTTTATCGATTGTCATGCCAGTTTTATTGAAAGTCGTGCCAGCTCTATCACCTCAAAGGTTGTAACAGTTTTATTACCTCAAAGAAAGTGAAAAGACTTGTCACCGTTTAGGGGATGAGATAAAAATGATAGACATCCACAATATTTAATTATTTCATAATACTTTATAAATTATAACCTCACCAAATTAACATCTCTGAACTCCCTCCCTCTCCCAAATTGCTTTTCATTAGCTCATTTTACTGCCTTTTTTGGCTTTGATGGTTCTGATGCGCATGCTACAGTCAGTGCATAATTGTTTATTTTGGTGTGGTATTGTTGACAATCCTTCAGTCATGTTGATAGTATACCATAGCCCTCAAAAGTCTAAATTATGTTATATTTTGGCGGTGTGCTTTGATGAAGAAAAGGAAACTGTTTGATTTGTTTTGCAGCCTTCCAGTGGCCTCCAGATCAGAGTGTGGGGAGACTAGAGTGGCTGCCAATGGATTGGGGCTTCATAGCGAAAGTCCGAACTGGCGAAAAATATTGTTGGTCACATTGATATGGAAATTTCTTATAGTGAAAGGTTTTGTTCAAGTGTTTGCTTCAGTTGTTCCCTCTCGTTTTCTCCTTTTTAGCTTCTTTCCAAATTCAAATTTTACGATTCTCTTCTACTGCTTCAGACTTTATTGCCTCAAGCCTTATCAAGATAGCTTCATTCCGGGTGGAAAGGATATCGAAAACGTCGTTGTTGCGTAGGAAATTTTTTATAAGATTAACAAATTCAAGGAAAGGGTACCTGTAGTATCAATGTTAGCTCAATCAACCAAGTTTTGACCTGGTAAAATTGTTATAAAAGAGTTCGATGAGTATTTGTCTGAAAACAGTTAGGTTTGCCTTTGCAAGTTGTGAAGGCCTTGCAGCTGTAGTTGCAGGCGACATTAGCTACCTCTAAACACCAATGCCTAATGTGGGAGTTAGGCGCGAAAGTAAAGAAAAGAAAGTTTGAATTGGAAAAGAAAAGAAGGGAAGAGAAATTATTAGAATTGTAATTTGGGTTGTTTGGCAGTCTTAGGAGAGAAAAGAAAAGGTAAGTAGCACATTGCATTTAAAAATTTGTCCTTCTATTTAAATAACTAGATGTTTGTTTAATGAGTTATACCTCAGTTCAGTACTTAAAGTTAATATATTCAGTCTTAATATATTCAAACTGCTTGATAACGAAAAATTGAATATCTGAATTAATTAAGTGGCACTAATACATATTTAATTTACAAATCAATGATAGATCCCTGACAGATCCCTTCATTGTTTAACGAACTGAGGTAGAGGGATCGAGGAAAATACAAATGGGAAAATTTCAATTTTCATCCTTGAACTTTGAGTTAGAGATACATTTCGTCCCCAAACTTTTAGAAGCACCACATTTACTACATGAATTAATTATTTTGGACCACATTTAGTCCAAAAAGGGTAAAATATTCAATTTGGATTGAGAAGGTTGACATGGCTGTTGATTTTGACTGAGAAATTGTTTTTACTTAACGGTCACGTGCCAAACACGTGACTTTTTCCATCGAAATTAAGCAATTTACTATTTTTGGACTAAATGTGGCAAAAAATAATTAATTTATGTACTAAATGTAGTGCGTCTAAAAGTTTGGAGATGAAATGTGTCCCTAACTCAAAGTTTAGGAACGAAAAGTGAATTTTTCCCAAATATAAATCATAAAAACAAAGTGGAGTTCACTTCAAGATGGCTAACACAACTTGAAAAAATTTATGTTAAATCATAGCAAATTGAAAGTTTTTTTTTTTTTTTTATTGGAGCTGTTCTTGCACCAGATCTTGGAAACTTGTTTTTGGATCTAAGCAGCTGCGGAGTTAGCACATCGATTGTAAATTTCAAGAATTGTGATAGGCAAATTTCATAACGTAATTTTCTGACGTTATTGTAACAGTCCGGGGAAGATCTTTTAGTCTAAAATCTTTTAGATGTGCATTTCATGTCAAGACATTTTTCAGGTTTAGGAGCCTTTTCTTTTTAAATGTTATATTCTTTTCATTCAAATAGATGCAGAAAGTACACATTTTGGGCTAACTTGTGCTTTGAGAAATCTCTTAAACCTTTCAAAGTTGCCTACAGAGGTTATATCATGATTCGTGGTCTCAGGTCATGGTCGCGATTGTTCCATATCCGTCACAGTATATTGGTTGAATATCAGGTGATACGCACATTATATAGCACATAAAAATTTTCAAAAAAAATCTAAAAAAATTACTAAAAATAGAAAATATCAAAAAAGGTACAATCTAAAAAAATATCCAAGTTGACTCCGAATTAACTTGAATATTTTGACCGATTTCATGCATCATGGATTTGAATCGGTCAATATTGGTCGTGTCAGAGCGAGCTGCCGTGGATATGAAATTATCCATGATTCGGAAATTGGTATCTTGCCAGTTTCTTCCGTTCCAGTTATGACTCGGCCAAGTCATATCGGACTTGGCCGAGATGGCGAACCATGGGTTATATCGAGTCTCGTCAATCTTATAAAATTGTAAGCGAGCTAGTTGAGTTTGTAACTTTGACGAGGGTTATTGTAATGAGTGAAATTGTAACTTCAATGTGTAGTACCTTGGAAAAGTGTTGGAGTAGAGTAGAGTAGAGTTTCGAGTCCTATGACACTGTAATATTTAGAATCTCATAGTGAGAAGTGGTTAGAGTTTTGCCACTCTACTGTAAGAAAACAGAAAACTCAATTGATACGACCGAGTTTCCGAAATTTAAGGGGACGAGGACCTTTGTGCATTCAAAGTAAGCTTTTATGTGCAACTCTAGTCAACGTGGCTGGTTTTGTTTACATTGAAAAAGTTAATTATTAGGATTAATTTTTTATACATTGAAATGTGGAAATTTTTTTATACTAATAGTTATGAATGTATATCACGTGTGTATGATTTGAATTTTAAATTAAATTCATATTATTTGGCATGATTTAAACTTGCTAGTATAAAAAATTTTCTACACTAACAGTGCATAAAAAAAACTTACTCTAATTATTATTGGTGTTCTACATATGTTTCATTCTGTTTAGAACTGTTAAATCTAGTTGAAATCTAACGTGCCCTAATCTAGAACTAATTCTGTCTAGTTAGATTTCTACGTATTACATTAGGTCAACCGGAAATAATCCTTCATTCTGTCTAGAACTGACCCTAAGAGTTCCGGTTGACCTAATGTGATACATAGAAATCTAAGGCTAAGTTTCAGATGTATCTAATGATTGACTGACTCAGAAGGATTATTTCTTTGTTCAGATCACTTCTTACACTTTTAATTGGACTTTAGTTATTCAGTAAACTAATTAAACCACTGGATTTATGGCAATGCCGAATAGAGAAACGTTGCAGAAATACAAACTGGCTTAGATTAAACTTTCGTCCATTTGCTAGAATTAGATTACACCACTGGATTGGAATTGCTTAGCACAGCATATTAAATTTACATTATTAAGACTATAAAACCAATGTCTTAACAACCATTTTAGATTCTCCTTGAAAAATTTCAAGTCAATGGTGACTTGCTGCATTCTTAAATCGTAACAGAAGCCCAGAAGAGTAACTTCTTTCTCTCAAGTCAGGAACTTGAAGAAAATATTTGCAGAAGAAAGAAACAGTTCTGAGAACATCACTTTTTGCATGCTCTGTAATAGCAAGTATTCCTGATTTCCCTTAGTTCAAGTGTCAATATCATCACGAGCATGTAATGCTGCTTTTGTTCTGTCCTCTTCTCCATGGTACTTGCGTTTCATAGCCCAATAAAGGATGAATCAATCTGCTTTCAAGATATTGAGTCTAGACGAAACTGAAACAGATGAATCGAGTTTCTCCACCATTTTTATCACAACTTCGGCTTAAAAAACCATCAATAGCAACTGCTGGGAAAAGCGAAGAATATGCAAGAGGGAGATAGTTACATGGTAGAAGATATGACAGTAGTTGAGATCTAACATCCCACCGAGATGAACTTCGAATTAATATGCCCAAGAATCCTACAGTTGGTGCAATGCACATAATCAGCAAAAAATGAAGTTATTTCAAGGACATGGTTCTACAATATGTCAGAGCTGACATAATAAATCCTGCAAATCCTCAAGGTTTTCTAGATTGAGGAGGAGGATGGGATTAATTCAAAAGGTTCTAGCCTGCAAGATGGACAGTTGGAGTTGGCTAAACAGTATATTACTAAATTATTGCAGGTACTTAAATCAAAATCAGCAACTTCAGCAAAAGAATATGGAGCGTGCAACCTTTTCCTCTAGCTGGGGAGCTTAGGAACTCAAATGCTACCAAGTGAATTGATGTCACTCTTGTGCTCGGAAGAAGTTTCAGAAGAATCCTCAAACTTTATAAACTGCCCCATTTGCTGGGCTGCAAGATGTACATAATAAACGGGAGCCGCTGCAAAGAAATGCACGAGATTATGAAATCAACCTTCTCCATCAAACGACATTCAAATCATGGACCATTACAAAATGATCTAGCAAAGTGAAAATACCAATGGAAATAGCAGTGGTACTCCTCTGGCAGCTACAATAGCCAAACATAATTATGTTAATCAAATGAAGAAGCTAAGCTAGAGGCAGCAAAATCGATGGAAAGAAAAGAACACACTCTATCTTAGACACATGAGAGACAAAGGATGAGGTGTTGTAAGTGATCAGGAGAGAAACCAATCACATTAAGCCAGACATGATAGTGGGCAGGCCAAGAAGTTCCCAGTTAATTGAAGAAAGCGAAATTTCTTTACTTTCAAGCGAAGCATTACCAAGCTATCTTCAGCATAGACACATTTTTGGCACACAATTCCTTAACCTTGAAGGGAAAAATTCCGCCTTGTATTTCAGTTGACCACGAGGGATGTTTTTATACGATATCTTAAGTCTTATTTAAATGTCAAGTTTCAGGTTCTGCATCTACCTTCAGTATTCTCCGGATCGAGGAAATTACTAGCAAGGTGATCATTTCACGACTTAGAATACCATTTAACTACATAAACCCAATCCAGATACTAATAACTTAAAATCATCCCTGCTTGGGCACGCATGAAAAAGTCATAATTTCTCGGACGGACTACTTTTGTGTCCACAACAGTACCTGCACACATTGAGAGAGAGAGAGAGAGACAGACAGACAGAGCCTTAGACATCTGAAATGAGGTAGGAAAGCAAATCGCAAGACATGAAAACCAGGTGGGAAGGCAGAAATGTCGATAGACCTTAAGAATTACAATGATAGTTATAATTAATCTGTGCAGACCTGGTGGAAAATTTTCTGGGGCACCATCTTGAAATAATTTGGTCTGTTGATTCTTTTGAGCCACAATCACAGTGAATTTGGGAAAGTCCACCTCACCAAGATGCTCGTAAGCGTACTCGTTGCAAGCCTGAAAAATTTGGAAACCTCGAAGAAAATAATAAGGAAAAGGGGTGCAGACTCCAGATGGACTAAACACCTGCTTGTGGACACTACAGCACGACAGATGGCTTTCTGAGTTACAAAATATTCGCACAACCATTGACATAATAAAGTCTTCACTTGATTAGACAGGGTACAATCATTTGGAGGAAATGGAAAAGATCCTATGAAAACATGACAGATCTATAAACCCCCAAAGACCTCACTAGACCAAGCAGAAAATGTTTCCTCAAAGGAAAACATCAAATCACGATGTGCATAATGGCTGAAATTCCTTTATCATTTGATCATGCTCAAAATTCAGGACCTGACTAAGTTGTGATTCACTCACTCCATCCCTGAGAGGGAAAGATACGGTCAATAAACCACGACAATGGTTGATTTATCACATAGAACAAATGTTCTTATTTACGATAAAGATAAATAAGCAAGCAGAAGTTGTCCCTGCATGAGAAAATCGTTAAACCCCAAACAAGAAACAATCATAGAATAAGAGTAAGGCAACTAAGCTTTCAACAATCCAGTGTAAATTCAAATGGATATTTAGCATGAAAAGACTGCATAAATGGATTTATTTTTAATAGCCATATGCATCCTGATAAGCTTTCCTATCACTAAAAGTAAGAACCAAATGTCATTTCTGGAATTCCCAATTGAAAATGTCATGGCAGCACTATGTTATTAATGCAACCGAACATGTCTAGTTCACAAACCAGGGCAGGGTGGACTAGTTGTGCAAAGCAAAAGCAATGTCCTTGCATTCCATTCATCTATACTCGAGTGATACTTACTAAAGAAGCAAACTAATGCCATAGGCAGAAATAATCCAAAAACCATTGCCCCTACCCCCTCACCAACCAAAAAAAAAAAAAGAAAAAGAAGATGATGTACGACTTCTTATTTGTCAGTTATTAGAATCAGTCTTCACAAACCATCTAAATAAATGTAAAGCTGGCAAATTGTTCACCAACAATCTACTAAGTGAAGATGTGTAAGTTCTACAGCAATATAAGCTTTAGCCTCAACAAGAGTATACCTGAAAACAATAATCTGAGCTGGTTTTTGCACATTATTGCAGCATAAAAGTCCAAAAGCAGTTCGCTGAAATATGATTAAGATATGTAGTAATTCAGTTTGCCTGTAAGTTCCACAGAATTCTTAATGATGTTACTAGACTAAAGGACAATTCCAAATTAAACACGCCTCATGATGCCATCATCTTCTCCATTTGCTAATGATTCAATCATTTCCAACTTTCATGATTGCTTACGAACAGCAGCTCTGTACTTTGACATCAAATGGACAAGATCTAGATCCAACGAACTGGTCAATAAAGATAAGAAAAATGGGAAAACTTCAGCATCACAGACAAAATTGGTATGTGCAGGCAATAATTCTGTGTAGCATAATTACAGCAGCTATAGATGGAACAAGTGATTGGTTAGGTGGCCCATGAGAGACATCCATCCCCAAGATCATTGTTGGAGTATCCTTGACAAGTGGGATACGCGAGGGTCACTCTATTGATACCAACGAATTGATCCCTCCAAGCTATGGAACACGATTGCAAAAACATCAAGATATTAAAGAAATGTTAGAACAAAATAATAATACCTTGAGTTGTTTTTGGTGAGCCAATTACCTTAGCATTGATTTTAAGAAGTACATTTGTCAGGTATTGGTCATTGATCTTGGAGGGAGACAGGCATTGAGTAACAATACCATGATCACAGAGATTCATTTTCTTCCAAGGGCCTTGATGTCATAAATAGAACTCAATCAGTATAAGTTTTGTCACACTACCCAGAAAATTTAAACGTATATATCAGAAATTTTCCACTCTGCCAGTACACATAGCAGAAATTGAGGAGCTTTAGGAAGCTTGGACTTAAGCTGCATCATCTGAACTCATTCTGCAACGCTAAGTTATAGATTTTTGGCTTCCTCTATCAGTGAATATGGTTGTTTTATATGCTGAAGAATAAACGAAGGGAATTTAGGACATATTTTTTAAAGAAATTGAAGTAATTAGAAGCTAGAATGTTGATTAACATACAATGTCCTTCTTTCTTACACAATTAATAAGCTCCCTTGAAAGATAACTGGTGTCATAACGGGCAGAGAAGTTGACAACTGCCCAAAGTTCTATCTTCATTGGATGTACTAGTTTCTTTACAAGAAGAAAATGCATCACTAACTGCATCAGAAATAAACTTCTCAGATTTCTAAATTAAGTACAATGTCATACAAGTACACAAAAAATTGATGAATTAGCATCACTTTATCTACGTTCTTTCTTTCCCTCCTTTCGCACCCCAATGGTGACAATAATCTTGTTTAGAGAGGAAAGTAGGTAACTAGATAAAAACACAAAAATGACTCTTCTGCTAAGGCAGCATATATAACTATCCTGCTCCTTGCAAGAGCCACATGCTCTGAGTTCACCATTTTAACACGTAAGAAATTGGCAATACCTTGTTGTTGAAGTTCCACCGGCCATTACGAGCGAAGCAATCTTCATTGCTACTAACCTTCAACTGTAATAAGCAAGGATAAAGGAAAGAAGACTGCTTATCAAAATATAAGCATATCATAACTTGCACAATTGTACTATATTTAGATGTGCGAAACATCACCTTTGGTGCATCTAGGACACGGCCATCAACTTGACTAAGCTGTTCTTCAATGCAGATACCGCAAGCAGAGAGGATAGGTTCATCATCATATGGATAATTTTTCATAGGCTGCCAATTTACAAAGAAAAATGTTAACAGGCAATAGTAATGAAGCAGAAGACAAGCAATGGGTTACAGCAATGTACATTGGTTACAATCCGAATCCTCTAAGGCTTCAGCCGAAAGCTTGTATGGAATCCCCAACAATCAGTAACACCCGCTCCAATATCAGTGAAAAAACCTCAAACCATCATGGAAGAACGACTGCCTCACCAAAAGGCAACCCCTGGCACCCATTGCCCATAATCAAAAGAGTTTAGAGGAAAGAGCAATTTCTCAACGTTAACCAAAATGGAAAATTTTCAGCTGTACCTATTAGCAGCTTGTTGTCTCAGTACAATATCAAAGAACTCTTAATGCACCTTGAACTCTTTCTGGTTCAGCTCCTTGAAGGGCAAGAAAAATTGACTCCAAGAGTATTTTGGCAGCGTAACTGATATCTACTGTAAATGATTTACATTGCAGAGAACGCTTTGATCTTTTACCGGACTCACTGGGACTTCCTGTCTGGGAAGGACTCACCCTTCAGAGTGAAAAAAGGTGTTTCCATTAGAGTAATAACTCCATGAATCTTGTGTAATGTGGAAAGTCAAGTGAAAATCAAGGTCAACTGAAGTGCTACTTACCGTTTGACCATGAACTCCTGCAGAACTACGAGGAGCTGACTTAATTTTAGGCAGAGGACGTGCTGTATATAGAGCTTTTTCTCCATCATATGCAAATTTTTTCCAGCTAACTCGGAGAAATAGGTCTGGAAAAGTTTATCCATAACATTTCTCCCAATTCCCTTGCTGTTAACAGTTTTCCCTTGCCCCGAACTGGTAGAAACATACATATATTGTTTCGCAATGAACTTGATGAAGAAAATGGGCTTTAGAAATGAAAGCCAATCACAGAAAAGAGAAACTTACCGTGTATTGATAAAAAATTTCATCTGGGTGGTTGGCAGAGCCTCTAAAGTAGTTAGTGAGCAGAGAGACAGGTCGCCCAGATCTCCCAAACCCCGGCCTACTGATTAAGGTACGTTCAGGCCTATCTGCTTTCTCAGGCTTTACGCCCGGTGGTACAACAGGTGGTGGAGGGGACAAAGGTTGAGAACAGACCTCATTGTCACTCTTTTTTTTTTTTTTCTTTTCCATTCTTCAAACCAAATTAAGACCTGCACTATATGAAAAGGAGACATGTTCATTGTTGTCATGGTCACAAGGAAGAATCAGCATTAGATATATATGTTCTCATCTTAAAAAGTCTCCACTGGAAAAACCTCAGTACTACATAAAGCAAAATGATGGCTTCTCAAAACAATAGACATTTCAGACTAAAGTAGCTAAACACAGGAAACATGATAAACTGCATCAAAATTTACCAAGCAAAGAGATGAATATTCAAGTGCATACTTGTTTTGAGTTGTGGAATAAAAACAATAACAAAAACACTACTGAACTGAACAATCTTTAATCACAACAGCATGAGAAGCACCTCAACAAATAAATAAATAAATAAATATATATATATATATATATATATATATATATATATATATATATATATATATATATCCTTATACAAGATAAGAAGACATTTTGGGGCTACTGTTCACTGGTTTTCATCTGCTCTCCCCGGGGTATTTTTGTTGTTTCAGCCTGTGGCTTGTTCTTTTTGTTGGAGCTGGTACAACTGGCTGCTGCTTTTGTGTTGGGGAATATGTCATTTCTGCCCTTCTTACAAGCCTCAGCCGGATGTTAGTGGACTGTTGGTTGTTCTATAGCATTAATGAGATTTGATGCTCATTTTCTATCAGTCAGGTGATTTGCGTTGTTTAATTACATTTTTCTCCTTATAGATGCTTATTGAATGAACTAAACATTTTGAATCCTTTTGTAACAGAGTCATTTCACAGTAGCCTTCTACTTTTGCTATTAGAAATTGCAAGATTAATAAGTCTTCTCTTGTTCGTTTGCCCTGCTGCGTGCATTCATTACTCTTTTGCTTTTATTTTCTGCATCCATAGCTCTCTGCTCGATCTTGCTGCCTTTGTTATTTCTTTGCAGAAGTCCGTACCTAGGTTCCACCTTCTTTCTACTAAATCTTTGTTTTCTGCTGTTATTAATGCTATGAACTCTAAACTATATTTATTATTGTCACACTTAGTGTTAGTTTTGAATATTCAGTGTACAATGCCTTCAAGTGATGCGCTAGCACATTTAACGGATAAGAAGATTCTTTACAACCAAAAATTAAGAGGAAAATATGCTTCCTTATCAGTAGAAGAAAAAGAAGCTCGTCGAGCTATACAGTGGGAAACCTATCAATAGAGGAAAGCAGCTGCATCAACGTCTTCTGTGAACGAACAGCAAAGTAACGATATGTGATTCAGTTTTGCCGGAAATGAAAGCTATAGTATAAATGTTTAGTGTTTCACCTTTATATTAATTTCTTGAGAATTCTGCTTAACTAGCTTAATGGTTGATCAAAACTCTTTATGTGTAATTCAGAGCAAATTTCTGCAGGAAATATATACAAATGGAGAAGAGCATAAATGTTTAGTATTTTGCCTTTATATTAAGCTTCTGAGTTTTCTGCTTCGCTGGCTTAATGCTAGATTAAAAGAAATCTTTATGTGTAAATTCAAGACAAAATTTGTAAGAGATGCATACGAATGGAGAAGAGGTTCCAGTTGCTGTGGAAAGTCCGCACCAATATTTAACTCAAAATTGTAATTTGCATCATGCTAAACACAATGTAAATTATCAAAACCTTTTAATTCAATTGAGACTTTACCTGAACGAAGTATCTAACTCAAAATTGTAATTTGCATTGTGCTAAACACGATGTAAATTATCAAAACTTTTTACTTCATATCGAGACTTTACCTGAACGTAGTTTTTATCTGAACGTTGGACTGCTATAGGTGTAGAACTTCCAGTTTCATGTGACCTGCGGCAGAACAATGACTACAATAACCAACAGCCTATTGCTATTAAATCGCTTCTACAACAAAGTGGAGAGAAAGGGGCCAATATACAACAATCTATTCTTATCAAACCAGCTGTACAACAAGATACCAAAGGTAACTCTTTGTGTAAAAGCAATGCTTAATCAGAACGCAAGCTGAAGAAACATGTTTTTGTATTCACGACATTTGAACAAGGGATGCCTACACAAGTTGATTACTCTATAAATTTTCTACACCAAATTGTTTCTTTTTTTTGTTTGCCCTTCTATGTTTATGATTGCATTTTTCGATCTTATGTGCATATAGGTTCTTGCTCAGAAAAGACATCCATCTATAAATGTGGAAGAATCAGCGGACTAAACATTTCAGGTGTATCTCGTTATAATCATATCTATCAGTGTACGTTTCATGTAACAATTTCTATGCTTTCATCTGCTAGGTGATCCTCCTATCTGTGACAGTTGCTATAGATTCTTGCTATAGATTCTCATAGGTTGAAATCCTTTATCCTATTTTTGCAAATATTTGCTGAGTCTCGTATAGTTATTGAACTTGATTTAGCCTCTTACAGTTTCTTATTTGCATAATCAGGTATTTCTATGACAGAATCCCCTCAGCCAATGGAAGCCAATGTTTCTCATAACATAAAAGTAGCAGCATATACTTATGTTATAAAATTTCAGAAACATGGTTTGCCTCATGCTCACTTTCTAATTATCCTCAAGCCTGCTTTCAAATTATATACAATAGAGGATTATGATCGTATAGTTTCTATAGAAATACTTGACGAAGCAGAAAATGAGCATCTATTTAGAATGGTCAAGAAACAAATGATGCATGGCCCGTGGCGACAAAAAACCTGATAATGTATGTTTGCAAGGTGTATCAAAGAAGTCTTGTAAGAACAATTATCCAAAGGCATGGGCAGAAAAAACTACACATTCTGAAAACTTGTATCCAACATATAGAAGAAGAAATGATGGCAAAAAAATTTTGATCCAAGGGCACTACTTAGACAACAGATGGATAGTGCCATACAATGCTTATCTATTGGCTCAATTCAATTGCCATATTAATGCAAAAATTTGCTCCACAATTAAGGTGGTCAAGTATGTGTATAAGTATATATACAAAGGTCATGCAAGGATACATTTTCAAGTGAATTCGGATGATGGCACTAATGTTATTGATGAAATCAAGGAATATCAGTCAACACGGTGGGTATGTCCAGTTGAAGCGATGTGGAGAATATATAGATTTCACCTTTATGAAATGCAGCCTGCTATAATACAGCTTCAACTCCACCTAGAAAAGTTTCAATCTATGCTCTTTTGATCAAATGATAGTCTTGACAATGTGTTCAATAACAATTTTGGAAAAAGAACTATGCTCACCCAATTTTGTCGTATGAATGCTGTAGATGATCCAGCAAAAAGTCTCAAATATACCTACAAAGAATTCCCTGAGCATTTTGTGTGGTATTCAAGCTCCAGATCTTGGAAACTAGAAACCAAAAAGATTCTATAAGCAAAGTTGTTGCAGCAAATCCTCTTGAAGGTGAATTGTATTTCCTAAGACTCCTTTTACTACATGTTAGAGCTCCAACTTCTTATGATGATTTAAAAACTGTAAATGGAGTTCATGTTAGTACATTTTGGGAAATAGATACACTTAGAGGATATCTAGAATCAAATAACTCACAGGAACAGTGTCTAGAAGAAGCTGCCATTTATCATATGCCATGTAGCCTAAGAAGGTTGTTTGCAACATTGTTAGTATACTTTACTCCCTCAAATCCAAGAAACCTGTGGCTAAAATTCGAAAAATCATTATCTGAAGATTACAGTAGAGTCTCAAACTTAACCAAGAATGATATTCAATTTAAAGTTTTACATCAAATGAGCAATTTTTTAGAGTCTATGGGTCGTAACATCAATAGCTATGGCTTGGTGCCAAGAGTATTAAAATTCCATAGTTTTACATCAAATGAGCAATTTTTTAGAGTCTATGGGTCGCAACATCAATAGCTATGGCCTGGTGCCAAGAATACTAAAATTCGATGACTGAAACACAGATGCAAGAGATACAATTAGTGAAACAAGGATTAAAGTTTCAAAGGATGACTCGATGTCAATTAATAAACTCAATCCTGGTCAAAAAACTGCTTTTGATACTATAATGTAGGCCTTATATATTAAACAAAAGGGATGTTTCTTTATAGATGGACCAGGTGGCACAGGAAAAACATTTATTTATCAAGCATTATTAGTCGAAGTATGGTCAAAAGATTTTATAGCATTAGCAACAGCTTTTTGTGGAGTCGTAGCATCAATATTACCAAGAGTTAGAACAGCACACTCTCGATTCAAGATTCCAATTGATATGAATTCAGCTAACATGTGCAAAATCAGTAAACAAAGTGCACTTGCTAAACTAATTCAAACGGCTAAACTTATTATTTGGAATAAAGCTCTAATGGCCCACAAAGCTGGTATAGAACGTATGGATGTACTACTAAAAGATTTGATGGATTCTTCAGAATTATTTGGCTCAAAAGTTATGGTTTTTGGTGGTGACTTTAGACAAGTTCTCCTTGTTGTTATTAAAGGTTCAAAGAAAGATTTTGTACAGGCTAACTCAGTAACTTCATACATTTGGCCACAACTTCATAAACTATACCTCACAGATAACATGAGAGCAATATCAGATCTAGAATTTACAGATTACCTCCTCTGAATAGGAAATGGACTAGAACCAATGGTACAAGGGTTGAAAGTAAGGATCCTTCCCCCATTACTAATACCATACAAAAATCAAACAGAATCAATTTTTGAACTTGTCAAAACAGTTTACCCAGATTTAAATGCTTTTTCCAGGAATGATTTTTCATTGGTAAATCGAGCAATCCTTACTACAAAAAATGAATTTGTCAATGAGTTAAACAACTTGCTAATTGACATTTTTCCAAGTGAGCCTCAAGATTATATTAGTCATGATAAAACACTTGACATTTCAAAACAAGGGCTATTCGAAGACTTTCCCAATAGCTTAACACCCAATGGTTCCCCCCCTACAATCTAATTCTGAAACCAAATTCCCCAATAATTTTTCTCAGAAACATTGATCCCCCAGAAGGCCTGTGCAATGGAACGAGGCTAATATGTAGATCTTTGAGAAACAATATTATTGATGCAGTTATAAGT